TATATCTTTGAGTCCTGAGTAGCATCTTTAGGTGGCGGAGCGATGCGAGGAGCGCATGCGCGAGGCGGCGGAGGACGGAAGTCAATAGCGGGAACATAAACACGATCACATTTTGCCCGGTCCCGACGCCGCTCGGAGACGCAGGGGAGGGAGAAGGAGAAGAAGGGAGAAGGCGAAGGAGGAAGAAGAAAGGAGAAGAAGGAGGGGGGGAGGGCATAAAGGAGAGGGAGAGGAAGGGTGTAAAACCCAGGGAACGGCGATGGAGGCCAAGGCAGAGGCAGGCGGACGCAGAGAAGATAAACCGATGTCACTCTGGACCCTCTATAAAATGGGTCGGCATTTATTTTGTTGACGAAGGGGTTGCGCAGCATTTTTAATCTGTGTTCACGGCGAGGGAAGGGCAGCGGGCGGGTGACGACCGAAGGAGGGCGGAGGAGGGACGAAGGAGGGAGGGCCGACGGAGGGGCGAAGGGGAGGGCGGAGGAAAGCGAAGAAGGGGCGAAGGAGGGAGGGACGAAGGAGGGACGAAGGAGGGCGGAGGAAGGCGAAGGAGGGAGGGCTGACGGAGGGCCGCCCTGGAAGACCTACCCAAGCGTGGTTGTCAGTCAGTGACATCGACCTAGGCGTGTCAAGAATGTGATGCAAGAGTGTTTCGGGGTGTGTGGCAGAGCACATCGCAGCGGCAGATTATGTCATGGCGCGGTTGAGGAAGAGAGAGAGAGAGAGAGAGAGAGAGAGAGAGAGAGAGAGAGAGAGAGAGAGAGAGAGAGAGAGAGAGAGAGAGAGAGAGAGAGAGAGAGAGACGAGGATTCAGAGGTATAGGAACAGGGAGAGCGAGAGGGAGCAGAAGTGAGAGTAAGAATGAATGAGAAGACGACAGAGAGAGAGAGGGAATAAAAGGGAAAAGGCAAGAACGGCGGAGAGAAACCGGTTTTGAGGGTTTGTTTGACGCGGAGGCCGGCCAGCTGGGGCGAGCATCTCGTGCCAGCTGGGTCGGCGTCTCTCAGCTGATTTGCGTGGTCGCTCAAGCAAGCCAGCAAGGAGGGAGAGAGGGGAGGGGACCTACTCACTGAACATGCCCGTTCCTCTCCTAATCATCAGTCGTCGTCATCGTCGTCATCATCATCATCATCATCATCATCATCATCATCATCATCATCATCATCATCATCATCATCATCATCATCATCATCATCATCATCATCATCATCACCATCACCATCATCATCATCATCACTACGCATGAGCCTCCTCCCGCGGGCGAGGCGTGGCATCTCCAACATCGTGACATCTTTTCGTGGGGAATTTTCCTCTCTTTCCGCCTCCTGACCCCGACCTAGGCCTACTTGACGCCCGTTAGGCTCGAGGCCCCGAAGTCCGCGGTGGCACTGGATGGCACGCACACGCTCACCCACTCACATGTGCACGCGCGCTGTACTACTCTACACGCATACACATACATACACACACACCGCTCCTTCAATCCTGCATGTATTCACCAGATTTTGTCACTTGTTCGCGCTCACTCGCTCGTTCATTCACTTTTTTTCACTCTTTCACTCACTCATACCCCATTCTCTACTCTCCCTCCCTCTCCCTATTCACCCTTCTCCCTCCTCCCTCCCCCCTCTCTCTCTCTCTCTCTCTCTCTCTCTCTCTCTCTCTCTCTCTCTCTCTCTCTCTCTCTCTCTCTCTCTCCTCTCTCTCCTCTCTCTCTCTCTCACACACACACACACACACACACACACACACACACACACACACACACACACACACACACACACACACACACACACACACACTTTCACTCTCTCCCCTCCCCTCCCCTCCCCTCCCCTCCCCTCCCCTCTTTTATTTTTGTTTCTGACGCACTAGACTTGTTCTTCAACTTGCTTGTCCTTTGGTGTTACTCTCTCCCTTTCTCTTTCACACGCTCTCCAGTTAATTCGTTCAGTAACTCGCGTCCACGTTGTCATGTACTCTCTTTCTCTCGTTCCCTCCCATTCTCCCTCCTTCCCTCCCTCTCTCCTCCCCTCCCTCTCTCCTCCCCGCCCTCTCTCCTCCCCTCCCTCCTTCCCTCCCTTTCTCCCTCCACTACACACACACACACACACACACACACACACACACACACACACACACACACACACACACACACACACACACGCACACACACACACACACACACACACACACACACACACACACACACACACACACACACACACACACACACACACACACACACACACACACACACACACACACACACACACACACACAGAGTGAGAGAGAGAGAGAGAGAGAAAGAAGGGGGTAAAGAGAGAAAAATGAGATAGATAAAGAGACAAAAAAAAGTGATAAAGAGTGATCGAGAAAGAAAGAAAGAAAGAAAGAAAGAAAGGAGACTGAGAGAGGGTAACTAAGATGTGACGTAACGGGAGATGTGGTGTGGGATGAAGGAGAGGGGAGGCCAGGGCAGGGAGTTGCGGCGGGGGGGTCACACGTCAATATGAGGGGGGGTGGGGCGAGGGGGAAGCCCATTGTCCTTCCCGTCTTGGCACAGAGGCCGCCCGCGCGCCCACACCGAGCACTAGTCACTGTTTCCCCGCCCGTGCGAGCTTCGTGGGTTTGCGTTATTGGTGTTTCTGTGGGATTGCTTGGTGTCTGGGTGGTTTTTGAGGAAGCTCTCTTTCTCTTGCTCGCTCGCTGCCCCCCCCCCCCCCCCCATCTCTCTCTTTCTCTCTTGTTCGCTCGCTGCCCCCCCCCCCCCCCCCCCAACTCCATTTCTCTCACTTCTCTTCTCTTCTCTTCTCTTCTCTTCTCTTCTCTTCTCTTTTCTTCTCTGCTTTTCTCTTTTCTTCTTTGCTCCTACTCTTCTCTTCTCTTCTCTTCTCTTCTCTTCTCTTCTCTTCTCTTCTCTTCTCTTCTCTTCTCTTCTCTTCTCTTCTCTTCTCTTCTCTTCTCTTCTCTCTCTCTCTCTCTCTCTCTCTCTCTCTCCCCCTTCCCCACCCTCTCCCTCTCCCTCTCCCTCTCCCTCTTCCTCTTCCTCTTCTTCTCCCTTTCCATCTCCTTCTCCCTCTCCTTCTCCCTCTCCTTCTCCTTCTCCTTCTCCCTTTCCATCTCCCCCAATCAACATACCTCGTAGAAACGGGTTAGGGACATGATATCCACTAATTCTGGCCATCTCCCATGAACCTAAGATAATTTAGTTACATCTAATTTTATTTCTCCCAAACCACTACAATGTATTTTCCTTTTTTTTTCTCTCTCTCTCTCTCTCGTTCTTAATATACTTTCTCACTTGTGTCGCCGTGACACAAATATATAATCAAATCTTTTTTTTTTTTTCTTCTTTATGTTTTTCCTTTCCGATGTAATTTTTATGACAGTTTTTGAACCTTAAATGTAAAGCTAAATTTCTCCCCCTCTTTCCCTCTTTTTCCCCTCCCTCACTTCCCCTCTGGCCCTCCACCCCCTGCCCCAGCCTCCTCCCACGCCCCTCCCTCCTCCCACGCCCCTCCCTCCCTCCTTTTCCCTCTCCATCCCAATCCTTCCTCTTGCCCCGCCCCCTCTCCCTCTGCCCCAACCTCCTCCCTCACCCCGTCTTTCCCTCCTCTTCTCTCTTCCATACCCTTCTTCTCCCTTTCCCCTCTCCCCCTCCTTCCCTCTCTTTTTCCCTCTCCCCCTCCCTCCCTCTTTTTCCCTTTCCCCCCTTCCTCTCGCCTTTCCCCCCTCCCCATTCCTCTCTCCTTTCCCCCTCCCTATTCCTCTCTCCTTTACCTCTTCCCACTCTCTCCCTCTCCCACACTCTCCCTCCCTTTCCCTCGCCCCCTCCCTCCTTCCCTCCCTCCTTTTCCCTCACCATCCCAATCCTTCACCTTGCCCCCCCCCTCTCCCTCTGCCCCAGCCTCCTCCCTCCCCCTGCCCCAGCCTCCCCCCCCAGCCTCCTCCTTCCCCCCCAACCTCCTCCCTCCCCCTGCCCCAGTCTCCCCCCCCCCAGCCTCCTCCCTCCCCCTGCCCCAGCCTCCTCCCTCCCCCCAAATTCCTCCCTCCCCCCTGCCTCCTCCCTCCCCCTGCCCCAGCCTCCTCCCTCCCCCTCCTGCCTCCTTCCTCCCCCTGCCCCAGCCTCCTCCCTCCCCCTGCCCCCCCCCCAGCCTCCTCCCTCCCCCTGCCCCAGCCTCCTCCCTCCCATCTGCCTCCTCCCTCCCCCCCTTCCTCCTCCCTCCCCCCTCCGAGAATCGTGTTTTTGTCGTGGGCCCGAACTGTAATTCAGCGAGCGAGGGATATTGGAGTAGAATGGCTGAAGGGAAATGATCAGTGTAATTATTAGCTTTTGTTGTTGTTGTTGTTGTTGTTTTGTTTATGAATTCAGTGGAGGAGGAATACATGGGAGAGGCGCGTAAATAAGACTTGGAGCGAAGTGGAAGAGGACGGATTTAGAAAATGAATGGAAAGGGAAACGGGGAAGGTTGTAGGGAAGGGGAAGGCGATGAGGGAGAGGGAGAGAGGGAGAGGGAGAGGGAGAGGGAGAGGGAGGGAGAAACAAACAGAAACAAAAACAAAAATGGGAAAGGGAAAGAATGGGAAAGAGACGGGAAGAAGTAGGCAGGGGCGGGGATGGATACAGGGACAGGATCAGGGACGGGATCAGGGACAGGGACAGGGACAGGATCAGGGACAGGATCAGGGACAGGGACAGGATCAGGGACGGGATCAGGGACAGGGACAGGGACAGGGACAAGGGCCTGGAAACGGAGGCAGAGTGCGAGGGAGGCCGAATGGGCGTGAGGACGGCGGCCAATTAGAGACAGACGGATAGCGGGACGGAGAAGAAAGGAGAAGAGAGAGAAAAGCAGAAAAAAGAAAGGAAGAAAAAGTGGGCCTCCCAGTCTTGTAGTGTTGCCAGCGCGACGTCCTCTTCAGAGCTGTAAGCACTGCCGCGATGAAAGAAAAATGTATATATATACATTTCTGCAACAATACGTCCGAGAAACGCGTTATGACCTCTGTCCCCCTAATGGCGGGGATACATTAGGCCGAGATTGGCGTGCAGACGGCGCTGGGGAAATGTCTCGCACAGTAATGCATGGCGAGCCTGGGGGGGCGTCGGGCCATTCTCGATCCTATGCCTAGGGTTACCGAAGGGCGGGAATGCCGTGACGGAGAGCGAGGTGAGCGAGTTTAATTGTGGAAGGACTGTTCGTCCGCCCTGCCGCCCCCCTCTCTCTCACTGTCTCCCTCCCTCCCTTTCTCCCTCCCTCCCTCCCTCCCTTCCTCCTCCCTCCCTCCCTCCCTCCCTCCCTCCTCCCTCCCTTCCTCCCTCCTTCCCTCCCTCCCTCCCTCCTTCCCTCCCTCCCTCCTTCCCTCCCTCCCTCCCTCCCTCCCTCCCTCCTTTCCTCTTTCCTTCCCTCCTTCCTTCCCTCCCTCCCTCCCTCCCTCCCTCCCTCCCTCCTTTCCTCTTTCCTTCCCTCCTTCCTTCCCTCCTTCCTTCCCTCCCTCCCTCCCTTCTTCCCTCTCCCTCTCTCTCCCTCTCTCTTCCTCTCCCTCTCTCCCCCTCCCCTTCTCCCTCTTCCTCTCCCCCCTCTCCCCTCTTCCCTCTTCCTTTCTCTTTCTTTCTTTCTTTACTTCTCCCCCTCATTTTCTCTCTCTTTACTTCTCCCCCTCTTCTCCGCGCCCCCCCCCCCCCATCCCCCTGTTTTAAACTTATTGAGTCACATCACCTTGACATTGCTTGTGAATACTGAATGTCACATCTAGTTCTGGCACTCCCACCGCCGTGCCCGAAACACCGCCACTGCCACTCAAAGCAGTGCCACTTCCACTTCAGCCAGCGGCACTTTGCAAAGACCGCCGCCACTCCCTCGGATGCCAAACCGTGTTGCTTGTACTCGTCCTGTCCTTTTCTGTCACTGGCGTGTCATGCGGATTTCCCCCTCCTCCCCTCTCCCCCTCCTCCCCTCTCCCCTCCTCCTCTCTCCCCCTCCTTCTCTCTCCCCCTCCTTCCTCCTCCCCCTCCTGCCCCTCCCCCTCCTTCCCCCTCCCCCTCCTTCCCTCCTTTTTTGCCACCCCCCTTCTCCTTTTTTCCTTTCCTCTCACCACTTCTCCTCCTTTCCTTCCCTCTCACCCTCTTTCCTTCCCTCTTTCCCTCTCTCCCCTCTTACTCTCTCTCCTTCCCTCTCATCCCCCTCTCCTTCCCACTCTTTCTTCTTCCTCCTTCCCACTCATCCCCAGCGGAGGGGTGCCGGGCCCTCTTCCCACCCACTCGCAGAAGGGGTGGGGGTGGGGGTGGGGGGGGAATGGGCGGTGGGCGGATAAGAGAAAGCTTTTATAAAATTCGCAAGAATTAGTGATGCACTTTAAATTAGTGGGCGTGGAGGAAGTGCTGGGTGGGTGGGTAGTAAGTTAGGGAGAAGGAGCTCCCGAGGTGGGCGGGAGTGGGCGAAGATTAGGGATTGAGGGGGGGCGGGGGTGGGGGCAGGGGGAGAGGGGGGGGCAGGGGTGAGCTAAAATAGGGGAGAGGGGGTAGGCAGGGGTAGGCTGAAATAGGGGAGTCGGGGTGGGGGGAGGGCGGGGGTGGGCAAAGATAGGGGAGAAAGGGGGTGGGCGGCGGGGGGGGGAGGGGCGCTTTCGTTATTATTGTGTTGTCCTTGACTCCTATGCTCGTAGCGAGGGTGGTGATGCCCCCCGTGATTGTGATGCTCTATGGTGGAGGGCATTGTCGTGGTGGTGATCCATGGTGTTCCTTGGCGGTGATCTGTGGTGGTGACCCTTGGTGGTGATTCTTGGTGGTGTTCCTTGGGTGTGATCAGTGAAGGTAATCCATGGTGGTGAACCATGGTGGTGATTTTTGGTGGTGTTCCTTGGTGGTGATCTGTGGTGATGATCCGTGGTGGTGACCCGTGGTGGTGAACCATGGTGGTAAACCATGGTGGTGATTCTTGGTGGTGTTCCTTGGTGGTGACCCTTGGTGGTGATGATCCGTGGTGGTGACCCGTGGTGGTGTACCATGGTGGTAAACCATGGTGGTGATTCTTGGTGGTGTTCCTTGGTGGTGATCTGTGGTGATGATCCGTGGTTGTGACCCGGGGTGGTAAACCATGGTGGTAAACCATGGTGGTGATTCTTGGTGGTGTTCCTTGGTGGTGACCCTTGGTGGTGATCTGTGGTGATGATCCGTGGTGGTGATTCTTGGTGGTAATTCTTGGTGGTGAACCGTGGTGATGAACCATGGTGGTGAGAGATGTGGCGCTGGTTCGACGGCGAAGGTGAAAGAGGCGGCGGCCGGGGCGGGAGGGCGCTGGGGGGGGGGGGGGGCAGCCAGTGTGAAGACGGATGCTGTGGTTAACTGATGCTCCTCTTCCTTCCTCTCGGGGTTCGCTCTCTCTTTCTCTCTTGTGTTTTTTTTTTCTCATTTTTACATTTCTCTCTTTTTCTACTTTAGTCATATTCGTTCTCTCTCTCTCTCTTTCTCTTTTTTCTTTTTCTTTCTTTCTCTCTCCCTCTCCCTCCCCCTTCCCCTTCCCCCTTCCCCCTTCCCCCTTCCCTCCCTCCCTCCCTCCCTCCTCCTTACCTCCTCCTCCCTACTCCCCTTCCCATCCCCCATCCTTCCAGGAGTGTGTATTGTCGTGGGTGTTGTCAAATGGGCGTGGGTGTTGTCAAAAGGGCGTGGGTGTTGTCAAATGGGCGTGGGTGTTGTCCAAAGGGCGTGGGTGTTGTCAAAAGGGCGTGGGTGTAGTCAGATGGGCGTGGGTGTTGTCAAATGGGCGTGGGTGTTGTCAAATGGGCGTGGTGTTGTCAATGGGCGGGGTGTTGTCAAATGGGCGTGGGTGTTGTCAAATGGGCGTGGGTGTTGTCAAATGGGCGTGGGTGTTGTCAAAAGGGCGTGGATGTTGTCAAATGGGCGTGGGTGTAGTCAGAAGGGCGTGGGTGTAGTCAGAAAGGCGTGGGTGTAGTCAGAAGGGCGTGGGTGTAGTCAGATGAGCGCGGGTGTAGTCAGATGGGCGCGGGTGTAGTCAGAAGGGCGTGGGTGTTGTCAAAAGGGCGTGGGTGTAGTCAGAAGGGCGTGGGTGTAGTCAGATGGGCGCGGGTGT